CTGCAGGAACATTGCTATGATTACGAGAGAGAGAGAGAGAGAGAGAGAGAGAGAGAGATAGAGAGAGAGAGAGAGAGAGAGAGAGAGAGAGTGTGTGTGTGTAAATTTTCATCTTACCTTGTTATGATTTACTCTTCATTACACCTGTGAGATGTGGGATCACATAAGGCCAGGGGAATATGGTAGTCTTATGCATTTCCGAGGCAGCTATTAATGCCAAACTACTATTGTCCTGTCAAGGATGTTTTTATCAACAGGTCACTAGTATGCCTAAATTCACTCCCCTCATTATGGCCGCTATGGTCGAATCACAAGTCTGAAAGCATTATGAGTATACTCTAGTATACTCGCGGATGTAACACCCAAAGGCACATTTTGTCGTCTTAAACGGTATTCCGCAGTCAAATGGGATTCCTGTTGTAATCTAGCTAAACTGAGCCTTGTCAATTTCAGAATATAAGGTATAGATATAACGCGCCAACGGCGTCAAATTAAAGCTGTGCGTGATAGGATACAAATCGGTGTGTCGTTGTTTTCTCTGTCTTGGCACGCGGGCAACATGTCGAACACAAGACCTTGCTTTTCAACCAGTGTCAGAAGATGACCTCATCCGAGAAACACTTGATTGTGTAATAATAATTAGCGTTTCATGATCTCTAGAAACATAAATAATCATGCATGGAAAAAAACTCTCTGCTGTTAAACATCTATTAAAACCGCTCACATAGTAGAATGGTAGAGTTTCTCAGGTTTGTAATTCCATGAACGATCTAACTGGCACAACTTTCGTCGGGTCGTGAAGCGGCTAGGTGTTATCTCGAATATGTGCTGAGCACGTTCTTTCATAAGCATAAACTTGGTGTGTCTAAATGTTTTAATGTTTCTATGCGCAATTTGAAGGTGGGTGTGACCATCTTCGGACTGCGACATTATATAGATCGCTATGTCATAAATGTAGTGTCGTATATGTGCGGTGGGTAGTCAGCATTTTGGTAGGGTCATAATAACCGAGTTTTTAAATGTGATTATTTTTTAATTCGAAAAAAAGCTGAAAAAGCAATATAATTTGTAAAGTAACGTGTGCCCGTGTGTGATACACATTGATAGGTAGTCAACCACGTAGACTGAAGCTAGGATCTATGTTTTTGCAAAGACCGTAGCAACGATCTGTGCTCACGTGATTAGATCGTGAATCACGTACGCAAAGTCACCTGACCTCAAGAACCAATAAGGGTTTTCGTAGCCACATCTGGCTAATTAGAGACACCTCGACAAAAAATGTATTTGTTTAGCAAATGTCGAACTAGAACAAAAAGGTTATAGCTGTTAATTTATCTTCACTCCGTTATAGCTACGTAATTTACCCCTAACTGTGTATAGTCTCGAATGTTGATAACAACAGGGAGGTAATATAAGCTATATAGTATACTCTTCTGCGTTATCAGCGATCAATAAAGCAACAGCCTATTGCAATGTGCAGGAGGGTGAGGCAGTGACCACAGAGCACCACTTGTGTTTTATTCGTGTTACATGCACGCGCGCTAGAATAAACGATACGTTATATACTATGCCATACTCGAGTCTCTCGATCGAAGTGTCACGTGCTCTCGAGTGGTGCTGAGCAGAGCAAATCACTGTAACCCAGTTTTTGCACTGTGTCTGATCTGTATATATTGCTTTATTTTGTACGAATATTTGCCTGGCTACGTATTGAAGCACCGCTATAACCTTTGTCGATATAGTTGATGATAGGTAATCGATAACTGCAAATTGATTACACACTATCTATTTAATACTCGTGTGATTTTAATGTATTTATAAAGTTGAAACGTTATGAACCTGGCAAGGTTGGCTGCCTGGGGTTCTAAACAATAGATCGCAGGCAACAATAATCACTGCATCTAGCTGATCCTATTTAATCTGTGCAGATCAAGTAATCTCTGTAATACTTGCTACATATTAGTGCAGTATAGAATCCCACGTGCAAACGTGAGCCACAGGCGTGGTGCGCAATGTGTTTCAGTGCATGTGTTGCTGGTCTAGGTCGCCTCTCATCGTGTGAAAACAACCATTGATTAGGGTTACTTGAATCTCTTAGTATTGTGCAGTTTCGTCCAAAGTTCAAACAAATAGGCCTAACAACATATAGTTACGCTTGGTAAATCACAAGAGTTTCCTTATTATTAGAGGCACGGTTAGTGAATAATCACAGTGGCGCCACCTATCCTAGGTTCATTTCAAGCCAACTTGTGTAGCAGAGGTATGTGTGAAGTGAATAAAAAAGTTTTTAGTGTTTCGATCACATCTGAACTTAGTTCTTTACAAAGCCACTTGCCGATATAGTACACTATAATTCGATTCTCGCATGAGTCATCTAATACTGTAACTCGTGAAATTACACGATTATGTGGCTATCTATAATGTTACGGTAATTTGATGACTCATGCTGGAATCAACTTTTTTCCATCGTGAATGACTGGAAATTGAGACACAAGGAAGTGGCTCGTGATTTCAGAAAACCTCGACTACCTCGTCTCCCCTGCATGTTCAGCCTGCACTGATTACGATTGAAACTAATATAACTTAAACACAGTTGTGTGTGTGTGTGCGTGGGTCTGTGCATACGTGCGTGTGTGCGTGCGTGCGTGTGCGAGTAATTCCGTGATTAATTATTGATACACACAACTTACCGGTTGATGATTAAGCACACTTTCTTCTTCGACTGCATTTGGCATCCTCTGAACCAATATTATAAACTAAGATAAAGAAAATACTGGTGCTCACAAACGCTTGTCAGTTCGATCAGTTCAATGCTTCCTAAACATTCCGCGATTGAAACTGATGATATTATTCAATGGTCGAATCCGGTGAAATAATTGCTAAACAAGTCGTGGATCCATAACCAAAACAAGTTCGCATACTGCGCATCTATTCCACATTACATCGTCATATTATCTTCCGCGTCTGTTACCACAAGGCCGCGATCTATCAAAGCTCGAGCTCCAGCCTCTGTGGGTTAATTAAAACATCAAATCGTAGATATCTTTTATTTATATTATTTGCCTTTATTCGATATTAAAATTTAAACATCTATTTCTGTCTACATATCTTCCGCACAGATCGCATCATACATTCACGACGAGAAGAGAAAACTGTCGGTTAAATAAAAAGCTCTCTAAAACTTGAAATGTAAAAATGTTTTCGAATCTCAATTGAAAATTTCAGAAGGAGAATGCAGCTTGGATTTTTTATGGCATAACGTTAGCAATATTTTGCATTCACCCACGCAGCGCGAGTGCCACTTTCGGGACGTCCTTTTACTTGTCGTTTTTATACTCCCGACGGCGGATTTTCCCTGGTGACCAAATCTCGAAAGTCGACTAAATCGGAGGACTTCCGGAGCAGCGATGGTGACCTCCCACGGAGAAGTGCTATCGTTGCCGTCATCGGTGACGTAAGGGTCGGACGCAAGCTCTGACGCAGGCTCTGACGCGGCGGATGCGTCACGGAAACGTCGGCGTAGCGTCGACGTGTTCGCGTTGAACGTTCGTCTGCGATTGAGGCTAATTCTGCCGCGCTCCTCGCTATCGTCCGTTTCGCTAACGTCACAACGTACGTCATTGCTCGCTCCCCCGAATACGTCATCACTTTCGTCGTAGTTACTGTCGCGTGTCGCGTGGGATGACTCATCGACGTCAAACACGCTGATCTCCTGATTAGACGGTCGCCTCAGATCATAGTTGGCCGTGTAGCGTCGGAGTTCTGGTCTCGCCCGAGCTGAGGATGCGCGAGTCGGCCATCTACGACTCGGTTTCACGACAAACATCGAACTATCGCGCGCAACGTCATCAGCACCACATCCAATGCCATCGGCAGATCGTATTGCGTCATCAGTAGCGCGTATGACGTGATCATTGGCGCGTCTAAAATCGTCAGTAGTGCGATCTGCTACACAAGTAGCACGTCCAACGTTACTCCTACCGCGTCCAGTTTGCTGGTCATCTCTGGTCAGCTGGTCATCAGATACGCAATTAACCGCCATTTTGTCACTCGGTGCAGCGTCAATTGCTTTTGAGAAGATGTTCTGGCCGTCCTCTATTGGATGTTTCGCTTGTGGTCGAGTTACGTTATTATCGTTATCGTTGGTTTGAAGTTTACCGTCGGTCCACTGGATTTTTCGATAACATCCGCCACGTTTATCGGTGGCGTTTGTAACACTTGCCGGCACACCACCATCTTTGAGTTCCATCGGTCGAGACCTTGCGAGCTCCTGCCCAGGTGCACCGCCCGCTTCGTTTCCCTCGCTCACCGACTTCGCTGCGACTACAGACGATTTCCCGAGAGAATTTCCGTCTTCTATGGCGGCATCGGAAAAAGAGGAGTAACCGTTTTTCTCGCGTAAACCTTCCAAAAATGAGCCAAAGCTTTGAACTTTATGTATGACGTTATCCACGCATGCGTAGTTCGACTCGACCTGAGCGAAATTCCGGTGCTTCGTTCCGCGTAGATGTAACGCCAAGTTGCTATAGTTACTATCACAACATTCGCAATATCCGGACTGACTCTGCTTCCTCTTGTCAATAGGTATTACAGACACTTGGCTTCCTCTCCGCTCAGCTGTGTCTCTCACGCCGGAATTTTTCGCGGTCGCCATATTGAACCTCCTCTTGGGAGCCAGAGACGGCCACTTGTTTGGAAACTCGCGATAGAACGGCCGCCACGTTCCCGCGGCGTCCTCGCACTTTACGAACTCTCCCGTTAGCGGGTTCGCGTCGACGCACTGCGACTTCCGCTCGTCCATCCGGTTCGTCTGCTCGCGGCGGCCGTCGACCTCTGCGTGACCCGTGACGTCAGCCTGACGTCGAGCATCGTCAAGGTTCTCGCGCAACAGCTTCTTCACGTCCTCGACGCTCGTGATCTTTATGCCGAGTGCCCGCGCTTTGGCGATGACGTCACAGTTGCCATGTTTGTTCTCGCTGACCTGGCTTCTTTCGAGCAGCGCCTGTCCTCGACTGGCCAGCCGATGTTGCCGGGATGAGCTTCGCGTGGCTGGCAATGATGAGATATGTGTGAATTGCTGCACTGGTTTTCGTGACATAGCGTTGAGATAGGGCGAGTAAGGTTGCGGACCGTCTAGCGTTTCGTATTATAGCATAAAGCACTGAGATAACCGTGTAGATGTATTGACATTTTCAATAGAAATTTTAATAGAAATAAATCAACCATGAATGTTAATCAGGATTTAACGATAGACGTCATACCAGGCCGTATCAGGCCTTTACATTTTCTGCACTCGTGGCACAAGGTTGTGAACGAATAAGGTCTTGGTAGTCGAATAACGCATGAACCGTGCTGAAATCTTTCAGATATATCGCGCTTGATCAGTTATAAATAACCATTAGTTGGCATCGTTTCAAGTGCAGGCACACATGCAGATTATACAGATTATGGAGTATCTTACCTGATTTAGCCTTCAGCTGACCCGACTGTCCGCCACGTGAAGCGCGGTTGTCATGACTACCATCTCGGGCGTCATCGTAATCGTTCGCGATTGGTTTGTCAGTAATGACGTAACCGACCTGCTTGCACAGAAAACGCTCCACTCTTCCGCCAAGCTGACGGATTCCTGTGCGAATAAGATATTTAAAGATGTTCTAAACAGTGAAGAGGGATAAATGGTCGGTGGTAACCGTTCAAATCTTGACGTGAGCGTTTATAATAAAAATGCCACTGATGTAGTTCCACATATTAGCTCTATAAAAGGTAAAAATGTACGAGATCCCATGATGTTCTTAGTTTAGTTCAGTTGTATCTTATCTCATTCCTGTATGGATGTATCCGATTATGGATGCCTTACCACAGACGTTTGTGCCGGTTAACAAAAATCTGGTAAAATGAATCATGCCAGCGTTGTGACTTTGTCCTCGCCCACAGGTAAAATGATTGCTTCGGGTTACGTTCATTCGGTGCTTATATTTCATTAAAGAAATTATCCTAGCAGGAATAATGTTCCCACCAGCGTTTACTATTGGCTCACTACAGCAAAACTCAAGGTGCCACATAGGGTGTTAAACTCTCATGATGTAATTACCCAAACCGTCAACGAAAACTGGGACTCGAGCGTTACAACTTGTTTAAGGAAATTAGAAATAGATATAAAGGTCACCCGTACACTTTTATTTCCAAAACTAGCGTTCAATAGCTGTTAATTATTTACTTGCATTATACAGTGCTATAATGTGGAAATGTGTTACAGATTTCGTGGGAACGCGTCGCTTATGTTTTTGGGTCGGCATACTGTAATTACTCAATTGCTAAATAGGCCCTATATGCACAAAACTAAACACCGCACTGATATCAGTTCTAGAGTTTAGTAAAACTACAGGAATCCGCGCCACGCATAATAAATTAGCAGGTTAATTGCTAATGTGATTAAACGATGCCTGTGCGTGCGTACGCATAGGTACAGACCTACTAGTGCCACCTATTGCTTAATAAAGAAATAAATTAAAACAACCTGGCACATGGGCAAAGTGGAAATTCGTAGCTAGATGGAAGACCCCTATAGCATGCGATATAGGTATAGTACTACATCAGCATGGAGGTGACGAAAGAATACATAAAATTGTAAATGAACCGTAGACGTTGCTTGGGACTACCGGTACTATCTGATTGTTGAGACTTAATTTAAATTAATTAAATTCATTAAAGTGATCACTAATGTGGTGCTCTTTCTCTCATGCACTGATGATAATACCGTAACTCTGCAAGTTATTCTCTGATCTTAGCAGGGGGCTTGCCCAGCCAGGAATCAGTATGAAACTGGAATGTTAATAAGGAACTTATTGAAAGCATTCTTGCTAATATAAATTGGGTACAAAAGTTAGGTGGTACATGGGTAAGACTAATCCCCGGGCACTCTGTGAGGGTGAGCCCACAGTGTAGGTGTGGTCGGGTAGGGTAGGGTCGGGTAGGGTAGGACCAACTCTAACCCTAACCCTAACCCCCACACCCTCACAGAGTGCCCGGGGATTAGTCTTTTCCGTGGTACATACCTCGCTCCAGCAGCGCCGCCTCACGGCTACTCCGGACATCCAGGTAAAAGGAAGTTTCCGTGAACATGCCATTATTGACGTAGAACAGTCGCCGCTTGACCCTCTCTACGTCACGCGATGACCTGACGATCGCCTGGCGCGTCATTATGCCAGTCTCACGCACACGATCTACGTACGTGGATACATATTGACGCATCATTAAATATCTTCTACGTGGTGCTAATTAATAATCATATAAACAATAATCTTGTCAACAAAATTACGAAAATAATCGAAATAATACCGTGTATTGATATTGTTCCCTTTACTTCTGTGTGAATACAAAACAGTAGGCTTTACTCACGGTATTCTTGTACCTTTATCCGCGTACGTGTTATTTCCCTCGAGTGCAGGAAGCTAGGTCGGTACAATGTGTTTATGCCAGTAGCTGCTGATATCTATAGTATAATATCTACGAGTATTTTGTAGCGAATGGTTCATCTTGCGTTACTTTCATGTCTAAAGCTGCATGCATAATGCACGACCGAGGACAAACACAAAATTATACCTTCACGCCTTGCAAAAATGGATGTCTGTTTTTGGTAATGAACAACACGGCAGCACGAGATTAGTCACGAGTTCTTTTTCGGGCGTCTGATTGGCCGCCGTTCCCACAGTGACCACTTACGCAGAATGGTTTCAAATCGGTTCACGACAGTATTACAATTCAACCTTATTTACACTTCTGCACTCGTGCCACTTATGAATTACATTTTGGTGGTAACGTATTAGTTAAACAAGTTAACAGGCAATGCTGATAAAACTAAAGGCGCTATTACGTGTTTTCTTAAAATTGACGCGATGCAAATAAGTTCACATCAATATGTTAGCACTGCTAATATTTACAAGTATTCTTGTATCAGTATAGTATTAATTGTAAATGTCGTGCTTAAAGTGTGTTGAAAACAACAATAATTATCGTGATGAGCCGTCTTAAAATCCACCAAAAAATATGGTGCTTAAAGCACGGTAAATTCCGCCAGAATTATTCTCTAAGAAGCGTATTGGATATTATCCAAATTTAGTTTTCTACGCAATACACCAAAAAAAACGAGCTCCTGCAAGCTTTATGCAATCTAAAAATTTGGAGAGTATTTCAGATATATACGTTTCGAGTCGGGCGTATTCACGATGCACGGGGCGGGGTTAACACCCTATAGGCCCTAAATGCGCTTTTATGAAATTATCAATTGAAAACTAGTGCATGCCAGTACGTTAGCGCTGCCGAAACCTGCAAGTAATAATTAATTAATTATGTAATTAAATAATTAATTTATTAGACGGTAAATTGGTAAAGGATAAATACACATGAGGTTGCAAGCTCCTCACAGTCAGTGAATGTGCATTGAGGAAGTATTCTTGTGATCGAAACCTGTAAACATCTTCCGGAATTTCTGTTACTTCGAAATACGACGAGATATAAGACACGTTTCGGTCTGAAGAAAAACCATTACATTATTATTATTAATGTTATTATTATTATTATTATTAATAGAAAAGCTTTATTGCATGTAATTCAAATACAAATACATATACTGACAAATATATGCATCACGCACGTGCATCACAAAATGTGACTACACATTGTATGATCCCGTTGAGCGAGCACCGATTCAGGCGTGCAGTACGGACTGAAGAAAACTGCGTAAAATAGCTTGCTGAGGGAGAGAGGGGTGGGAGACTGAGAAAGGGCAGCAGGAAGATAGCCGATGGTAGAAAAAGAAGAAGAAGAAGAAAGAGGCTGAGCGAGGGACAAGGGGGCAAGGGGAAGGACTGGATGGGATCATAAATCATAAAATTACCTTCTTAAATAATTAATAGGATCATAAATTACGATCATTAGCATTAGGATCATAATACGCTATTGATGGGATGAATTAGGAGTTTTGCACCCTGCATGCTAGGGCGCTCTCCTAATTATAAACACAGGTCTACTGATAACAATTTATTACATAACACTATGCTGAGATACCCCCTAACCATATTAAATGCATATTTATCACAAAATATAATTCATGAGTATATGTACAGCACAATGAGATATTGCGCATGCGCTAACACACTAACGTAGCCAGATTGTGTACTGACTGGTATATGTAGCGGGGACACTACATGCAAGGTCTCGTTCCTATTTCTCAAGTGGGGTCTACTGATGGAGTGTTATCATAGCAATCTATGCTAGGATAACTCCTCTTCATTTTAAATGCATAATTTTTGCAAAATATTATTCTTTCCGGGAGATATTGCGCATGCGCGAGCACCGTTTCAGTCGTGCAGTACGGACTGAAGACAACTTCGTAATATAGCTTGCTGAGGGAGAGATAAGTGGGAGACAAAGTAAAGGCAGCAAAAAAGATAGCAGAAGGGCAGTAGAAAAAAAGAAGCTGAACGAGGGACAAGAGGGCAAGGGGAAGGACGGGACGGAATGAAGTAGGAGTTTTGCACCCTACAGGCGAGGGCGCTTTCCTAATTATGAACACAGGTCTAATAATAACAATATATCGCATAAAACTATGCTGAGATACCCTCTAACCATATTAAATTCATATTCATCACAAAATATAACTCTTCTGGTGAGATATTGCGCATGAGCTAACACACTAATATAACCAGATTGTGTACTGACTGATATATGTAGCGGAGACACTACATGCAAGGTCTCGTTCCTATTTCTTAAGTGAGATCTACTGATGGAGTGTTATCATAGACATCGATGCTAGGATGACTCCTCTTCATTTTAAATGCATAATGTTTCTAAAAATATTATTCTTTCCGGGAGATATTGCGCATGCGCGAGCACCGTTTTAGGAGTGCAGTACGGACTGAAGAAAACTTCGTAATATAGCTTGCTGAGGGAGAGATGGGTGGGAGACTAAGTAAAGGCAGCAAGGAAGATAGCGGAGGGGCAGTGAAAGAAAAAATGAAGCTGAACGTGGGACAAGGGGGCAAGGGGAAGAACGGGAGGAAATGAAGTAGGAGTTTTGCACCCTACTGACTAGGGCGCTCTCCTAATTACAAACACAGGTCTACTGATAACAATTTATCACATAAATCTATGCTGAGATAACCCCGAACTATATTAAATGCATATTCATCACAAAATATAAGTCCTTTGGTGAGATATTGCGCATGCGCTAACACACTGATATAGCCAGATTGTGTACTGACTGGTATATGTAGCGGGAACCCTAGATGCAAGGTCTCGTTTCTATTGATGGAGTGTTATCATATAAATCTATGCTAGGATAACTCCTCTTTATTTTAAATGCATAATCTTTGCAACATATTATTCTTGTCAGAAGATATTGCGCATGCGCGAGCACCGTTTCAGGCGTGCAGTACGGACTGAAAAAAACTTCGTAATATAGCTTGCTGAGGAAGAGATGGGTGGGATACAAAGTAAAGGCAAAAAGGAAGATAGCCGAGAGGCAGTGGAAGAAATAATGAAGCTAAACGTGGGACAAGGGGGCAAGGAGAAGAACGGGAGGAAATGAAGTAGGAGTTTTACACCCTACTGACTAGGGCGCTCTCCTAATTACAAACACAGGTCTACTGATAACAATTTATCACATAAATCTATGCTGAGATACCCCCTAACCATATTAAATGCATATTAATCACAAAATATAACTCCTTTGGTGAGATATTGCGCATGCGCTTACACACTGACGTAGCCAGATTGTGTACTGACTGGTATATGTAGCATGCAGGCACCTTACATGCAAGGTCTCGTTACTATTTCTTAAGTGAGGTCTACTGATGGAGTCGTATCATATAAATCTATGCTAGGTTAACTGCTCTTCATTTTAAATGCATAATCTTTGCAACATATTATTTTTTTCGGGAGATATTGCGCATGCGCGAGCACCGTTTCAGGCGTGCAGTACGGACTAAAGAAAACTTAGTAATATAGCTTGCTGAGGAAAAGATGGGTGGCAAGGACGGGACGGAATGAAGTAGGAGTTTAGCACCCTATAGGCTAGGGCGCTCTCCTAATTATAAACACAGGTCTACTGATAAAAATTTATCACATAAATCTATGCGAAGATACCCCCTGTTCTGTTATTGGCAGCAGTATTATTACATTGTACCGTATGTTATTTATTTGTAACTATTTAAATGATTGGTATAGTGGAGAGGGCGCCACATGTATTAATTTTCCCGCGTTTACTACCGTGCCTTTTGTATGTAAAAGCAGTATCTGCATTGCGCGTCACATAACGGTACACACACAGGCACTTGGAACGCCTCAATAAAAAAAATAATGGTAAATAAACACGAAATGTATTTACTACCAAAGTCTTAATGTTTCTCTACCCTATTTCGCCTATTATTGCCGATAATTACCCGTAAATGCCGGTCAAATGCTCATCAGTAACACACAAGTACACCGCACGCACGCCCTGTGCACAAACAACATGAATAAGAGAGATTGGTCTGAAGATGCTGTGACCATAGGGCGATGCTGTAGTTTTGGGGGTTGCCATCCAGGTGTTGTACCGCGTGGATAAAACTGTGCCTGGACTTTAGTCTCGTCTGTACTGTTTTATGCTGGACGAGGTGGTGGCGAGGGTTATTTTCTTGATTAAATTTCTCAACTTGGGATGAAACCATTCGTCAAACGTGTAGAAGAGCAGTGCCACATGGCAGGTAGAGGTCATCTACTCTGGTTGGTCTTAAACATGCAGAAATGGCTCTGCAGGCAGTGTTCAGAACTGGGTCAGTTTTTGCAGCATGGGGCGACAGACACCCCAACGGTCTAAAGTAACACCCAGATAGACTGGGCTATAAGTATGGCTGATAGGGTCTATGTCCCCCAGAGTACTATCGGAGGGTACCCTGGGTACGGTTCGATATATTGGAAAGTACCTCGGGGTACTATACGATATGTCGCTGCGTACCCTAGTTGCATTGTCCCACCGTACCCTGACTGTCAGCCAACTGATGTCGTAATACATACACTCTGTCAAGTTACCACATCACATAGAAGAAACCTCAAAACATCGCAATCCAATAAAAATGTATGTTTGACTATATTTTTCTTTTTCCTTTTTTTTTAAACGAAGAGCTAGCCCAGCTTTTATATTTTAGTTTTACAACATCGGAAATGCTGTCAGAATACTTTGGGACAATGTAGGGTACGCAGCGACATATCGTATAGTACCCCGAGGTACTTTCCGATATATCGAACCGTACCCAGGGTACCCTCCAATAGTTAGTTATCTGTTACATATTACATATTAAGCTGTTACATATTAAGCAGCCATTGAAGAGCAGCGGGACCAAGATGCTTGATCTGCTCACACAAAAGGTTATTACTTTTCATCAATTTAATACCATCACTCAGTTCACTCTTGTTGAAAGGTCTTGTGAAGTCTGTGGTCTCTTGTAAAGTACACTCGGCCTTTGGAAGCTTAGCCTTACCGGGATGATGGTTATGGTTTCCCTGGCTGTTCACAAGGAGTTGATGAGTAGCCTGGTCAACAGTCACTTCTGGTCTTGGTTGTACTTTATAGAAGTCGTTTCCCATCATCCGAATTGTCTTCCAAGCTTTTCTACTGCTATGGGTTATGTTTGCAGACTGGATGAGTTCCTGCCATTTCCTCCGTCTGTCTTCTTCTATGGCTTCAGTTTGTCTCTCGCCAGAGTCAAGCGTGTAGTCACTGAATGGATCATTCTGGAAACAGTTGACATAATCATTGAAAAGTGCCTTCCTTGGAGTCATCCGTCAGACCTGGGATGTAGCTTGTGCGGCATCCCCGAGGTATGTTGTGCCTGGAGGATTTCTTTATCATCTCTACAAAAGTGTCATAATTAGTAGGTAAAGCAGGTAGGTCCTGGAGAGCATCATTACGTTCTTTAGCAAACTTTTCCTAGGCGGCGGGTCGGCGGCGGTCGGCGGGTCAAAATCGTACAAGTCCCAATATACAACGGGTTACATAGTATGCTTCTCAATGTTCATGTTGGAAATGCGTGTTCGAGAAACACCATGCGCATGTGCCCTTATTAACTAATATTACAAGCTCTTACGTTTGTCATTAAAAAAATAATCTACTCACGTGATCCTTTTCTCAATGTTCATGTTGGAAATACTTTTCGAGAAAAAACCACGGCCTGTGCCGTATTAACCAATATTACAAGCAGTTACGCTTGTCTTAAAAAATAATCAATCTGTTCATATGATCCTATTCCCGATGTTAGTGTTGGAAATGCGTTCTCGAGAAAAACGTCTAGCTAACGACGGTATTAACCAATATTACAACAATTACGCTTGTATTAAAAAATAAACAATCTGGGCATATAGTTCCCTCTCGATATTCATGTTGCTGAGATCATGTGTTCGTGTCCATATTAAGCGACATTACCGGAAATTGTGCTTGCGTATAGAAAACCATTGCCCTCTCCCTGTTCGTGTTGTATACAAGTTTACGAGAAAAAACCACGAGCTGTTACACGTATTAACCACTATTACGAGTAATTATGTTTCTCTTTAAACAATAAAAAAATATGTTCACATGGTCTCCTTTTTAATGTTTATGTTGGAAATACATTTCCAAGAAAAACCATGTGAGTTTGCGCTTATTAATCAATATTACAGACAGTTTTGCTTGTCTATAGAAAACCGCCATCCTGGTCACATGGCCTCGCCATTTGTGTTGAAATTAAGTTTACAAGAAAAGCCATGTGCCTATGTGCTACTTAGCATTACTTAGCCTTAATATTATAGGAAATTATACATTGTCTTTAAAAAACTATTAATCTGGTTACACAGTCCCCTCTCGACGTTGGTATTGGAGCGGGCTATATGATAGTGGATGGAGGATTTTACATTTTTAGCACTTACGTGTAACAAAATGAACACTATATGTGCTATCCGGGTAGATTTGATATCATACACAGTTCATTTCACTACCATTCATGAGATGAAACGAGGCAACTCTTAAGATAACAATATCAGACAAACCGTTCAGGAAGCGTGGAAGGAAATGCGAATTAGAATTCCATTAAGCCCTTAAATAGAGATAATGTTTAATAATAAGACAGCTGAATTCTCGCTCAGTTAATAGCATTTTATGAGCTGAATGCAGCAGCTTCGCTGATCACCCAAGGTCATGGTCAATTTATTTTTGCAAAGAAAACGTGTGCCTTTACCATGCTAATGGATTCAGCGAATGGCGTTTGTACAAACATGGGAATGAAATTGTTCGATGCTGATAAAAGTCTATATGTACTGATGCCCAACCACGACCAGATAATGCATACATACGAACACAGACACAGAGAAATGCACGTACACCCACACACGCACATAGCGACTAAAAAAAGGGGGAGGTACAGACCCAAAGGTAGGTGCAGACTCCACTCGCATTCACATACGTCCACACATTTGCACACGTATGCACGCACACACGCACGCACTCGCGTACTCACTAACGCGCGCGCGCACACACGCACGCACACACGCACGCACGCACGCACGCACGCACGCACGCACGCACGCACGCACGCACACACACACACACACACACACACACACACACACACTATATCGATATATCTACCTATCTATCTATCTATCTATCTATCTATCTATCTATCTATCTATCTATCTATCTATCTATC